AAAAAAAAAAAAAAAAAAAAACTCAGGACCAGGTCAACAAGGCCTATGTCATGAGTGTGTGCCAATGAAATTGCAAATTTTACATTTGTACATGACTTAGGACTTGCCCTGGGAAAGTTGTATGTCATTTCGACCCAATTGGCCTAAGTCATCTCACCCTAGTATACATGTTGTTTGATGTTGTTTGTTGTTTTGAGTCCTTTGTTTTTGTGTCGTTAGTATCAATATATATATATTATTCAGCGACATCAATGTTGAAGTGCCCCGGGTCAATCCTGTTGAAGATGTTGCGCCCACTTATCACCGATGAACATCATGTTCACCCCTTCTAGATCATAGTGAGTTGTCGTGTTGGGGATCTTCCCAGGTCCTCGTCCTGCTGCTCAGAGCAACATTTGCGATCCGAGCAGCTGACGAGACGCGCGACTTACACCCACGTTACCATGTGCCCAATGTGACCGCTGATGTGGCAAGCGGTGTTGGCGAGGAGGAGTCGCAGCGCATTGCAAATGGATGGTGTTCCGTGTTCAAATCCTTCTCTTGGTGAAACATATGGGTGGCAGGTTCCTGGAATATTATCCGGCAGTCACCCGCGCAAACTTCTGGCAAGTGCAACCCAATCGTAGTTGGACACATTCGTTCGAGCACACATGGTGTTGGTTCTCCTTGCTTCACCACCCTTCATCTCACCAGGCTTGCCAGCTTCACGCAGCAACCCGTCACAGTGAGGGGTTGGGATTGCAACCCAAGTACTGGTATTGGCCAATCTCATTTGTTAATTTAATCTTTGTGTTGTTTCCCCAGGGAACGTCCCAGATGCCTGCCTTGATCCCAAGATGATTCACACTTAGCGTGCAAAACAAACACCAACCAGTGGAGGAGTTTGCCCATGTTCAGTGGGACCTCCCACCCGTCGCAGGAGTTCACCTCTGTGACCAGAGTGGACCACTGCGTGGGTGCCAACCTGGGCGATCACCTGGACGTCGCCAGCAGGATTCTTTTGTGCTATGGCTCAATGGATTGATGTTGGGCAGCGAGGAGCCGAAGAAACACAGTGGGTGTTGACATCATGCAGAAAGACTCATTATCCCATATTCTCCCCTTTATAGCAGAGAGGCTTGTGAGTGGAAGGGGGTGGAACACCAGGAGAGAAGTTACACAGCAAACGTGACTATGAACGGCCTCCTGTGGGCCAACTGAGCCAACTGAGGATGGAAGGCATGACCAACAAGCCTGCACCTTCATATTTTAAACTACTACAAGTGATTGCTTTCTTTTGCCTTCTAAGGGTCCTTGCCACAAAACCTCAATACGCAAACGGCATTCTAATTCATTGAGGAAATTTCAGAGCAACATCGGTGCTCTTGTGTTTTTCCTTGGTTATCCAATCATGTTGTTTTATCAAATCATCCTTGTCCACCTGTGGGCGTAAAATTGCAGACATCTCACTCCCTTCAGAAACAAGTTATGCATGGTGATGAAAGACGACTGCATTCCCCACCTCAGCCGCATCCCCAGGGCACCAGCTACTGGTTCATCCGTTGAGGCCAATTTGTGTGGCTTGGCTGTGCATCTCCGTCGTGGTCGCCTTCATTTTGCTACTTTGGAGGCCTTCCGCCCTCACAGCCGAGCCAGAAGCCATTGGCGCCTGGATTTAGCTTGGGTATATGGGGCAGGAGGGTGGCCCCTTGTCACAGGGTCATTGTGGTCCAAATGCTTGAACGGTTGTTGTTAAGCCAAAGCATCAGACAAATAGGTGGCAAAGTAGTGGATGAAACTGAAGGATTGCCTGTCAGACCAAACAAATTGGTAGGATAGTTTGCACCTAGCTCCCGCGCTTACCCATGACAATTGATTTATATTGATTTGCTACCGCGGAACTTTGCAACTAGACTGCCCTTTCCACAACATGAAGGGTGAATTCTTCCACTCATGGCCCAGCGCTTTGGTCTCTTGGGCTCTTCCACTGGTTGCCTTAATAAAAGCTTGGCCAAGGCAGTCCGCACCCGGAGACTGCGGACGCCCCGGAGGTCACGCAGAACGCAGGCCGGAGACGGTCTGAATCCCGTATCATGCGACACGTGGCGGGGAATGCCGGATATTATTGATTTCTTCTTCTGGGGGGTTGTGTCATGACACATGTGTCATGACACATTGTGTTCTCGTTTTGATGTCGAGACTAAATTTGAAGTCGTTGCACTAAGTGTCTCGGATCAAATCAATTCAGAACTACAGAAGGGCTCAAGGCTCATATATCACATATATCCAAGATTGATAGATTCCGTCCGTCACTGTGGTAGTTCATTCCAACCGGCACGTTGACAGCTATCGTGTTTCCAACTATGGTGGCGTGTAGGGCCGTAGGGTCTTCATGAGCTTGAATATGAGTCTATTCCTGCACATAACCAGCAGGTCATGCAGACTTTTTAATGTCACTTCGAAGATGACCAGTTTATGACACCAAATATCTTTGGAAGCGACAATCGCGGAAGCTGAGCTGAACCCCCTTTGTCAAAGGGTTTGCCATATCTAGCGTCCTATATATTCCACTTCCATGATGGTCCGAGCCGAGGGAGAGAAGGGAGATCCCTACCAAGCTGGGACCCAGCGGCCCACGACCAGGTGACTCGAAGACCTCCAAGCCAGAAGCGATCAGTTGGCCTCGTGTGGCCTTTGACTCCATCACCAGCTCGTTGGCCGGACGCTCGGCTGCTTACACGATGAGTTTGCCCAAGCAGGTGACAAAGCTCAGGCAGGTGGCCCAGTGGTTCAGAAGTCGAAATCAACCCTTGGCCGTTGGATGGAAAGAAGTGCCACCCCCCGAGAGATAGTCTCGACATGTCCACACAGATCAAGAAGACAATAGAAGACATTTTTCTAGCCCAATTCCATGCTTCCCGTGCCAGAAGAGTATAAAACAGTTACTATGTGCGCTTTGCCGATGCTGTTGTTCTTTGGGCTTCTGAGTTTGCTGTCAAGCTGATTGCCATGTAAGGTATGGTGGGCTTCGTGGGCTTTCAGAAGATTGTTGTCGCTCGAGTTGTTGCTTTGAGTGACGCTTGGTACACTCAGCCTGAGGCAGGATTGGACGAGGCAATCGCAATACCATCGATACCACCCTCTGAGTGGCAACCAGCAACAGGCCAACTACAGTCACGGCAGATTGTGTCAACATCAGATCCGATTGATGCCATCAGTCGGTCTAGCTCTACCCGACCCCAGCAATCTGGGACCACACTGTAGACTTTGTGGCACTTGGAGACTCTTTCCACGCCGTTGAGAATGTTGGATCCAGCTGGACAAACTGAACCAGGCAGTTGGCTCGTCCAGGAACCCTTTCTTGAATGCTAGAGGATGTTGACAAGGCTCTCCATGACTCTCAGGTGACGCACCTTTCCATTCAATGGGCACTAATTTCAGTGCACAGTTGTTCATCCAATCCAGTACCCAGTACTTGATGAACCCAGCAACGAAAACCTTCCAACATCTCCAAGGCAAGATGCTCATAAGAGCCAACGTTGCTAGGTGCTTTGGGGGGTCACGATGAAGGGAGGTTCCTGAGTGCCTTAAGTCGCAACTGCATACATGGTCAACTACTCTTCAACTTGGTAGAGAGAAACAGCAAACTTGTTGATGTTTGGTCGTAGTGATGGGCCTATCAGCCATTGGCCGTGCCCATCAGGGCCAGCACTGTAGTGGCACTTTTTGGCAAACTTCAGGATACTTGCGACTTGTTGAGTTTGGAGAACATTTTGCTGTACATCACCGTCGCGCTCTCTGTGACTGCTGTTGTCGCCATCATCATGTGCCTCGGTGCTATGAATCAATTGCTCTAGTCGGCCACACGTCACGTGGGGGGATCTGCAGCATAAGCAGTATGTTGGAAGATTGAGTATGTGGATTCTGACTTGGAACAATCTTGACTGAAACAGGTTCCCGATGAAAGTATAGTATATAACCTGATGGAGATACTTCTCATTGAGAATGCGACAGCTTACCTCTCGGATTTTTGCAAGAAGAAGAGTTTCATAGTTTTTAATAGTATACTGTATATATATATATTCTCCGAGAGGTGCCTCAGCGCCCGCGCCCGCCGGAGGTTCTTGGCAGTGGACTACTTGCGGCGTTTGGCGATCCACGCAGCTCAGCGGAAGGGCTACCGGCTCACCATGGAGCCCAAGGAGCTGAGACAGACAGGCTTGGTATCCGGACAGGAGGATGAAGCTTGTGGGAAGCTGGAGGGTGAGGAACTGCAATCAACATCGGGCTTTCATGCTCTAATGGATAGCAAGAACAGAATGAACTTGCATGTGTATGAGCTGTTGGTCAAATTCTCGCAGCTGCAGGATGCAGGTAACTATCTTCTTTAGATTCTTCTCTCACTCGTGTCTATTCTATGTTCGTTACTTGGAACTGGATTGGTGGCCTCAAAGGCTCTTCCAAAAGGATCATTATCGACCATTGTAATTGGTTTTTATCAAGCAATGTTCCCAACCAAAGCACCACGCAGGACCGGACTCACGCAGAGAGCACTAATTAGTTTGAGAAGCGAACGGAGAGGTTTGGGCATTGTCATCCTCCTGTTGGCTCTTGTGATGTTGCTCCTTTATGCCTGCGCGACAGTCTCAGCTTGTGACATCAGTGATTTGCATTGTCTTGTCTATAGTTGAACAAGATCTTGTGGCTAACCAAGGCTGACCGCATTCACCCGACTACTGAGTTCACGGTTCATTTGATGATTTTTGATGAGAGCATGGTGATGCTGGGTTTGTTGGTAGGATCATGGTTTATCTTTCCTGGATCTTATCCAGCTGTATGAGCTTGTCTTTGTCTCCACGCTGCATTGTCAAGCTTAACTGGCCTTTCAGTGAGTCCCTGCTGGGGAAAAATCATCTGAACATCCAGGAATTGGATGATTGATCGGAGAAAGTATATACAGTATATCTTCAGCCTCCAGGGCCAGGTTGCCTTTGGTTGACTCAGGTCATCATCAAGGAAAGCCAGGGTCCGGAGGGCCAGGACGACCTCGACAAGTTCTGGGTTTTTGTGGAGATTGTGGGGTCCTCGAGCCATTTGAAGTCTAACTTCGATATTCTGAGAGTTGAGACGGTAAGTCTATTATTGGGGATATGGGGGAAGGCGTTGGGAATCTCGATGCGTTCCTGGATTTCCATTTGTCGGACATGTGGTGACCTTGTCATTGCGTGCCATCGACGATGGAGCGATGAACTTGCACCTAGGCAGCTGGTGGGGCTACTCTAGTGATCTTCTATCAGAACCTACGCGACTTGGATCCGAAGAGGTGTTAGGAGTGCGTTTGGGTGGCAGAATAGCAGGTGCGGCAGCCGGCAGTGATGCCCAAGCAAGGCACAGTGCTTCTATTGCGAGTGATCTAAGTTGGAGAAGGAAATACAGTTAAACCATTCCACCAACAACGGCTTTCCATATTGTAGCCGATTGTAGCATCAATGTACAAGATATTCAAACCTCAATACTTGTACATACAAATTGTGTACGAACCTGAGTGCAAAAAGGATCATCGAAGGAAGTTTAGGGTACGAAACTTCCGTGTTACGGACATTCAAGAACTGTTCATACACCCTCATCATACACCACTCATCATACACCACTCATCATACACCACTGTTCATACATGCACCACTCATCAGACACCACTCATCACTGATCATACACAACTCGTCATACACCACTCATCATACACCACTCATCATACACCACTCATCATACACCACTCATCAGACACC